GCTACAAAAGAGAGAGATGTGTTTCTCAAACTAAAAACTGATAGTTTAGGTATGAAATTCACACTCTCAATAGTTTAGATATGAAACTCAAAAAAAGGGATAATTTAGGTGTGTTTTTTACACTCATCTCTATTTGAAATAAAATGGTTTTATGTTCTTGATTGATTGATTATTTCTCTCCTTACGTATTTCTTTTTCAAATTTTGTTTGGTCACAAAAAAATGAATCGTTAATTTTCCTCCTAAAAAAGAGATAAGAATAATTTAATCAAATTAAATACTCTTTAATGATTAAAATATTCCGATAGTTTTATTACTTAATTTGATTACTCATAATACATTGAACGGAGATATTGTGAACAACTTTGACACAATTTAATTAATCTAAGAGTAAAGTGATGAACTATCAAGTCTTTTGGATAGATTTGAAGAGAAAGATACAAGCCTCAACTTCACCAAATTAATCTACTTGAGCCATTCTTCTTTTTAAATTATTTCAATTTGTAAAAGGAAGTTTGAGGATGCATGATAACTCAACTGTCTTTTTGTTTTTTTTTTATAACTTTTTATCATATGTGATATTGACACAGATCATAGAATTATCTTATTCTTTCAAGTTTTTCAAGAGTTAAACTAAATAAATTTCGATCAATAATTTAGAATTAATTATGTTTTGATCATCATATTGATCATATGAGAAGTATCACAACTTATAGTATTTTACTTATAATTTTTGAATTTCTAAAGTTTAATTTTAAAATATTGAAATGATCTAATCAAATTTAGTTCTCAATTAGTTATTTCACTATCGAGAAACAAAACATGACAATTGTTCTGAGATTGAATGAGCATGTGACTATTTCATGAATAAAAATAGTTATTATAGACCAAAAAGGTTCCACAAAAGTCAGGCCATAGTAATTACTCTACAAATCCATTTTTTTCACACTATGCTAGTAAATAATAGAACCAAGAAAGTTTACTCACAAGTTATTATTCACATTGCCTATTATTTTTGGAATATATATAAACCTCCTTACATATCAACATATATTGTCAGTAGAGTGGGGGAGCTTTGCATCATGAATTATTATATACTTGTGTTGACATCAATTTTTGCTTTGATTTTTCTCTATACTCTAGCAAAATTGTCCAGTAGGGGCACCAAAAAACTTCCACCATGGCCAATTATTGGAAATCTTCACTTGTTAGGTGCAAAACCCCATGTATCACTTGCCAATCTTGCAAAAAATTATGGTCCAATTATGAGTTTAAAAATAGGACAAATAACAATAGTGGTCATTTCTTCATCAATCATGGAAAAACAAGTCCTTAAAAAACAAGACTTAGCCTTTTCTACTAGATTTATTCCTAATGTAGTTCAAACACATTAGGAATTCGCTTGTTTTTCGAAGAAAACATTTTAGATAGAAAATATTTTCCTTCATACCAAATCTAGTCTTTTTCTGACCTAAAGTTAGTCCTCTAAAGTCACTTGCATTGGTTAATGGACGAAAGTAATTAAGAAACAAAAATAAATCAGAATTAATTCTTAGGCTTGAGCAAAAATCAATAATAAATATCATATTTTTAATGAATAATCATGTACAAACTCAATATAAATAGTTCTTCGTCTTTTTCTGACCTAAGATTTTTTGTTTAAAAAAGGCTCATTCATGTCATTATTTGTTAACTAAATGACATAGATGAGTCAAACTTTTAACGGATGACATAGATGAACCTTTTGTCAAAGTTTGATAAAATATTTGAGCCTTTACCCCTTGTAAAAAATGATTTAATTAATCATGTGAGCGAATCATAACTGACCACATGTAAAAAATGATTTTGCACAATTGGAACTGCTTTTAGTTACCAAAAAATAGCATGGATGAACTTTTTCCCAAACAGAAATGACATAGCTCAACCAAACTTTTAATGGATTACATAGATGAACTTTTTCTCAAAGTTCAATGACATATTTGAGATTTTTTACCGAGTAATAACAATAAGAGACAAACGTGCCACACACGTTTCCAAAGACTAGTATATAAAAAGATGTATTGTCCAACTTCCTTACATATCAACTTTGTGAATAGTACTAACAAAGTGGAAGGAAAAGAGTGGGAGAGGTTTGCATCATGAATTATTTTATACTTGTGTTGGTATCAATTTTTGCTTTGATTTTCCTCTATAATCTAGCAAAATTGTCCACCAAAAAACTTCCACCAGGTCCATCACCATGGCCAATTATTGGAAATATTCACTTGTTAGGTGCAAAACCTCATGTATCACTAGCCAATCTTGCAAAAAAATATGGTCCAATTATGAGTTTAAAGTTAGGACAAATAACAACAGTGGTCATTTCTTCATCACCCATTGCAAAACAAGTCCTTAAAACTCAAGATCAAGCATTTTCATCTAGATCTGTTCCTAATGCTCTTCAAGCACACAACCATTACAAATTTTCTGTGGCATGGCTTCCTGTTTGTCCTCAATGGCGAATGCTTCGCAGAATATTGAACACTAACCTCCTCTCTTCCAATAGGGTTGATGCAAATCAACATCTAAGGTCTCAAAAGGTGAAGGAATTAATTGCTTATTGTGAAAAATGTAGTCAACAAGGTGAAGCTGTGGATGTAGGTCAAATTGTTTTCAAGACTAATCTCAATTTAGTGTCAAACACCCTTTTCTCCAAGGATTTGGTTGATCTTTGTTCAGATTTGAAGGTAGAATTGAATTATAACATGATTGTTTAAAGTATAACGTATTAGTTGAGTAGAAATTAATGTTTTTAAAAATTTGAAGCTTGAGTTGACAGACGCGATCTTGAGCATCGTTGATGTTGCTGGGAAGATCAACCTAGTGGATTTTTTCCCTATACTTGAAAAGATTGATCCTCAAAGAATGAGGTATCGCACAAACATCTATTTTGGTAAGTTGAATAAACTCTTTGGTGATATGACCAATGAGCGATTGGAAGAAAAGAAAACGAACCAAAGTGAAAAGAGTGATATTTTACAAGTGCTTCTCAACTACAGTATAGAAAATCCCCAAGAGATGGATCAAAATTATGTGAATTCCACGCTCCTGGTTCGTTCTCTTCTCTTCTCTTTTGATACATGGTTAAGAAGAAATGATGTGCTAGTTTGAAATACTTTTTTAAGTTTATTTGAGAGAATTACCAAATTTAATTTACAGGACTTATTTGTTGGTGGAATCGATACAATTACAAGCACGTTAGAATGGGCAATGGCAGAAATACTTAGACAACCAGAGATTATGAAGAAAGTCCAAGCTGAGCTTGCACAAGTCGTTGGAAAAGGAAAACCAATAGAAGAGGCTGATGTATCCAGACTCGCTTACTTGCAATTTATCATCAAAGAAACATTAAGACTTCACCCACCAGCTCCATTCTTAATCCCCCGCAGGGTGGACCAAGATGTTGAATTGTGTGATTATATCATTCCAAAGGGTTCACTAGTACTAGTCAATGCGTGGGCAATTGGTCGTGATTCTTCTTTTTGGGAAGACGCTTTAGTGTTCAAACCTGAGAGATTTCGGAGTTTAGAATTGGATATGCGTGGAAAAGATTTTGAATTGATTCCATTTGGTGCTGGCAGAAGAACATGCCCTGGATTTCCATTGGCATTGAGATTGATGCCAGCAATATTGGGCTCGATGTTGAATTCATTCAATTGGAAACTTGAGGCATGCATTGAGCCAAAAGACTTAGACATGGAGGAGAAATTTGGTGTCGTCTTAGTCAAAGCCCATCCTTTGCGAGCTATCCCATCTCCTCTTTGAAATTGCGCACACTTCATAATAAATACTTATCTAGTATCGGTTTTCTTATTATGTCCACAATCACCAATTACCACTCTATGCACCATCACTTTATCCACAATCACCACCCACTACCATCAATGACGTAACCTTTTGCCATATATAATAATATATTGAAATCATAATTACTCAAAGGTGTTTACGACTTGTTCATATATACCTTATTTGAAATAAAATGTTTTCATTTCTTGATTGATTGATTGATTATTTCTCTCCGTAAGTATTTTTTTTTTCAAATTTTGTTTGGTCACAAAAAATTGAATGGTTATTCTCCTCCGAACTCGTTTAAAAAAGAGATAAGAATAATTTAATCAAATTAAATACTCTTTAATGATAAAAATATTCCGATAATTTTATTACTTAATTTGATTACTCATAATACATTGAGCGGAGACAAAAGCATGCAATTTTTTTTTCTAAATCCAACACCTAATAAATAAACTAAACAAAAGAATTAACATTAACTAGCACCCAATAATTGAATATATTATTTTGTTGACTTGCTTTCAATTTTCGTGTAAATGTCGGGCTAATAGCTTTACTTATTTGACTTTTATCGAATGGAAAAGTCAGTTTTTAAATATAGTAGTAATATGGTCAATATTGCTAAGAACGCAAGAGTGTGATTTAACGATCAATAATTAAAGTTGATAAAATAGTAGAACATCATATTCAAATTACAACTAGACAAAAAACTTATTAACAATTTCTTGCTATTTATTTGAGCTTCGGTGGACAAACTTATTCTATTCTTATACGGGTGAAAGATAACATATTATATTGGTGTTTTTTATCAAGACAAACAAAAACTAAGCCAAAATTTTGAGTTTATAGGTTTTGAATTCTGAAAAAGATGATTTACTTATTTCCTAATAAATTGTTTATACATATTAGATGAATTTTCTTAAAACATAAATACAAGGTGTTAGATCAAATCTACAGAATTCTGCTAACTCGTAAGTGAAACTCTAACTCCGCCTCTTGGCCCCTGCACACAAATATCTATGTCATGTTACCACAAATTCAACTATCACTCTTTTAATTTCTTAAACTTTCTGTCTAGTCAAACCAATCCAATTTAAATTCTAAATCCGTGTCCCTCAACTCCATATATATATACCTCAACATCTTCATCCTAGTCACACATACAACTCTGTTTCTCTGTTTTTTTCCCTCTTTCATTCATCAATGGCTGCAGAAGGAATTAAAAAAGTGCCAAGAATGAAGATGGGCTCACAAGGCCTTGAAGTATCAGCTCAAGGGCTGGGCTGTATGGGTATGTCTGCATTTTATGGGCCCCCAAAACCTGATGATGAAATGATCAAACTTATTCACCATTCCATTAATTCTGGTATCACTTTTCTTGATACTTCAGATATATATGGGCCTTACACAAATGAAATTCTCATAGGGAAGGTATGTTACCGTACGAATTTAGTCAGTTCCTAAAAGAATGAGTCTGAATATGCCATAACATTTGTGTGCTCATTAAAGGTAAAATGAGATGTTCGCGTAAAATAATTTCCAAACTCAGAAAGATGCCAATTTATTTTTAAGTATGAACAAATGAGAAAATAGTGTCATTCTTTTTTAAATCGAGGGAGTGTATATAAGGGATCTTACACATATCGGTAGTTTTTATCTTAGAAAACAACCTCTCTTTGTTATTCCAATTTTCTTCAACAAAGAAAGTGACTTCTGAGATAATAATAATTAGTTGAGTCAAAGAAAGTGACTTCCGAGATAATAATAATTAGTTGAGTGACCATTTGAGATATCATTGTAAATTCAGACTTATAATCATACTGTTTACTAAAGTACATGATTTGAGAGTTGTAAAGATCATTGTAATCAACGTGAACATAATATCTGTCTTTAATTTGTTTCATAAACTTGTTGATTAACGTTAATTGTATAATCGCGATAGGCTTTGAAGGGAGAGACGAGAGAACGAGTTGAGTTGGCAACAAAGTTTGGAATTAATGCTTCTGCAGATGGAAAAATAGAAATAATTGGAGATCCCTGCTATGTTAGAGCTTCATGTGAAGCCAGCTTAAAGCGACTTGATGTTAACTGCATCGATTTATACTATCAACATCGGATCGATACACGTGTGCCAATTGAAATCACAGTAAGTTATATACATCATCAGTATAAGTTACGATAACAAGTTTGTTAGTACTCTATCTTTATCAGGTTACCAATAAAAAATTTCAATATTTATTGGTCATGTTGTGAAGAGCTATGTTGCTCGGACTCTCCAAAAATGCATAGGTTTTGGAGTATCTGACAAACACTAGGCATTATTTTTGAAGAGTCCGAGCAACTTAGATGAATAGAGGACGAAAATCCTGTTTTTCGTCCCCTGTTATGAAGCAATGAATCTGAGTTTTCATGGATCAAACTTGTTGTTCGCGATGTATTAATTATCCTTTTATAATTTGCTTTTTGTTTTCAAGATGGGAGAACTTAAGAAGCTAGTCGAAGAGGGTAAAATAAGATACATAGGTCTCTCTGAGGCTTCAGGCTCGACGATCAGGAGAGCACACGAAGTTCATCCAATAACAGCAGTACAGTTAGAATGGTCCCTATGGTCGAGAGATGTAGAGGAAGAAATAATTCCTATTTGCAGGTTTATAACATTCATCCATTTAATATTCGTTTAACGTCTAAAAGCATAGTTTTTAAGTCCTTAATACAACATTAATCGTCATGACTAAAATTGATTTTTTTAGGGAGCTTGGAATTGGAATTGTAGCATATAGTCCCTTAGGTAAAGGGTTTTTGTCATCAGGTCCAAAGCTGCTCGAGGATCTGTCAAATGAAGACTTTCGGAAGGTTTGCACTATTTGTTGAACTGCGCGATCATTTCATCTAAAATTTGGATTTAGATTGTTATAAAAAATGATCTTGTATAAATACTGTATATTGATTTTGCAGCATATACCAAGGTTTCAAGCTGAGAATCTCGAGCATAACAAGATCTTATACAAGAGAATTTGTCAAATGGCAACGAAGAAGGGATGTACGCCATCTCAACTAGCCTTAGCCTGGGTACATCACCAAGGAAATGACGTGTTCCCCATCCCAGGTACCAGAGACAGGTTCATGATTTAAATTTGACAAGTTCAAATTTTTAGATTGATTTGTGATGAAAATACCGGATTCAGTTGAACTGATTGGCTATATGCTACATTTGCCATTGTCAGGTACTACTAAGATCAAAAACCTCGAACAGAACATCGAAGCTCTGTACATTAAGTTAACAAATGAAGACATGGTGGAGCTTGAATCCATTGCTTCAGCTGATGCAGTGAAAGGTGAAAGAGATGCTTCTAGTGCAAGTACTTATAAAAACTCTGATACTCCACTTTTGTCAACTTGGAATGCTGCGCGATAAAATTTCGCGTAGTTTCTTAGTTAAGGTGTCTTGATATATACTCGTGTTGAAAATAGTTAACTTAAATGTTAAAATTATATAGATGATTTAGCATCTATGTTTATTTGTATTTTGTGTTAGTGAAATGTGAGTCTTTTTGTAAGTCAATGTTCATTATTTACTCATACAATAATATTAATCTTCACATTATAGTTCTAGTATAACTTGTTCACAAATCAAACACCCTTTATTCCTTAAATATATTTATAATAATGAGCGACTTGTAAATTAATATCTATGAAACAAAACATCATACATCGTGGTACCATTTGCGTGTGTTGTGTGAGGGACGAAAAAATAAAATTCTCCGTCAAATAGGAGAGGGGATAGCTCGCAAAGGACGGTCTTTGGTTAAAACCATACCAAATTTCTACCATCCCAATATACTTGTCACATTTTTGAAGAGTCAAACAAAATAAACTTTGAGCAATAATTTAAAATATATATTTTTTCACATTATTGATATGAGAGAAGAATTAATTGTATGATCTAATAGTACTTTTTGTATAACTTCTGAATATTTAAATTTTAATAAATAAATATTGAATGAATCTAATCAGATTTAACTTTCAATTAGTCAAATTAGCTACTGAAAAGTAAAACGTGACAACTATCTTAAGATCGAAGGAGTAATATATATGAGCATGAAAACAATTTGCATAATTTATTTCAACAAAAGTTAGGCCCTAGTAATTACTCTACCCATCCATTTTCACGGTATAGACCAAGAAATTTACTCAAAATTAAAGAATACATAGCACGTATTGCCTTGCTACGTAGTTTTTCCGATCAGGTTTTTTGTATTGCTTTATGTGAAGAAGTTGCCATTAAATGCTAATAATTTAATGAAAAGTCAATACACAAAATTTGTATTGATCATGATATGCTAAAAATGAAAAGTCAATACAAAATTAAGTTGCCATTAAATACTTTCTATAAAATAACCAAAGAGAGAATTTTCTATTAATTAATAAGACTAAAATCTTCCAACAAATAATACCCTTAAAAGTAATATACGTGCAATACACAAATCAAATGAATATATATGCACACTTGGCAACTTCTTTAAACATCAACTTTGGAATAGTATCAGTTAGATGAAAGAGTGATGGATTATTATATACTTGTGTTTGTATCAATTTTTGCTATGATTTTTCTTTATATTATAGCAAAAATAAGCACCAAAGGGAGCAAAAAACTTCCACCAGGTCCATCACCATGGCCAATTATTGGCAACTTTCATTTGTTAGGTGCAAAACCTCATATATCACTAGCCAATCTTGCAAAAAACTATGGTCCAATTATGAGTTTAAAGTTAGGACAAATAACAACAGTGGTTATTTCTTCTTCAAACATTGCAAAACAAGTCCTCAAATATCAAGATCAAGTCTTTTCAAGTAGATTTATTCCTAATGTTGTTCAAGCACACAACTATTCCAAATTCTCGGTGGTATGGCTTCATGTTTGTCCTCAATGGCGAATGCTTCGAAGAATATTGAATACAAAAATGGTCTCACCTAATAGTCTTGATGCAAATCAACATCTAAGATCTCAAAAGGTGAAAGAATTGATTGATTATTGTGAAAAATGTAGTCTACAAGGTGAAGCTTTGGATGTAAGTCAAGTTGCTTTCAAGACTATTCTCAATTTGTTGTCAAACACCCTTTTCTCCAAGGACTTGGCTAACCCTTTTTCAGATTCAAAGGTAGAGTTTGAACAATGCATTTGATATAATAAAATGTTGATATACATCTTTATGACATACGTTTTTAAAAAAATTTAAAAGGTTGATGAGTTGAAGGATGTTATCTGACGCATCATGAATGAGGTTGGAAAGATCAACCTAGTGGATTTTTTCCCCATACTTGAAAAGAATGATTTTCAAGTAATAAGGTGTCGTGCAACCATTCATATTGGTAAATTGTTTGAACTTTTTGATGGGTGGATCAATGAGCGATTGGAGGAAAAGAGAAGGGGATGCTGTGAAAAGAGTGATGTTCTGGAAGTGCTTCTCAACGCAGAAAATACTGAAGAGATCGATCAGAATCATATAAAATCCATGCTCCTGGTTCTCTCTTTTATCCTATTTTAACATTTTAACAAGACTCAACTAATCCTATCTCCTCGAGGCAAAAGAATAATAATATAAAGAATTAGTTCACAATTACAACTTTTATATGTCAGTCCCAAGTATCCTCCAAACTTAAAAGAAAATTGTTTTCTAAAACAAACAAATAATGGATTTTTCAAACCTAGTTATAAGGACTATTTTTCCCAAACCTAGTATATAATATGATATAGTTTTTTCTTGTATTGGTAACTAGTTGTATTCAATGCATGGTTAATTGGGAGAATTACAAAATGTTACAAGACTCATTTATTGCTGGTAATGATACAACTACAAACACATTAGAATGGGCAATGGCAGAAACGCTTAGACAACCAGAGATTATGAAAAAAGCCCAAGCTGAGCTTGCAGAAGTCGTTGGAAAAGGAAAATCAATAGAAGAAGATGATGTATCCCGACTCCCATACTTGCAATTTATCGTCAACAAAACACTAAGAATGCATCCACCAGCTCCATTCTTAATCCCACGCAGAGTATGTTATCTCCTATATTCACAGTTTTCATGTTAGTCAAAAATACAGAAACAGAAAAAAGATGAAATAGACAGAATGATTTTTAATCCGAGTCCACAGAAATCACTGTGTTTCCTTGAGAAATTTAATCCCCTCACTGTACCCGACGTTGTAGATTAATTCCTCCCAAGATAAAACGGATTAACCTGTTAAAGAAGTAGCGGTACCTCAAACTTCAATAACTTCAGCGAACGCAAGAACAGCAACAAGATCACACACAGAGTCAGTCGATCGACAATTTTATTTATGTAAGAAAATGTATGCAGAGAGGAAATTTTTTTCAGTGTTATGAAAAAACAAAAAGGCCTCTTATTTATAGCCATTTGTAGCAAGGAACGCGTCTGTTCAGACCCATTTTTTCCAGAACGTTGTGTCCTTTGGGAAAAGTAACGACTTTTCGGAAGGATTATCGTTTGGGAAAAGTAACGACTTTTCGGAAGGATTATCGTTTGGGAAAAGTAACGACTTTTCGGAAGGATTACCGTTACTCATGAATTTCAAATAAATTCAGTTGCGCCAAATTAATTCTGTTATTTAATTAACAACATTCTGAATTAATTTATAAGAGAAAGGAAATGATTTAACAAGATTGATTAAATAAATTTTGTCCAAAAATATTATCAATCAATCATTTGCCAAATCCGAAGCCGAAGCCGAGGCCGAGCGAGCGACGACGACAACGCGAGGGGCACCTTCTTCTTAACCCTTTAAGAACTAAAGGAAGTGTTTCCTAATATAAGGACAACAATTTCCTTTCTTCTACCAATATGGTAAAAATGACCTTTCATTTGCACTTTTGCAATGACTTTTCATTTTCCCTCCAAAATTGGTTCCCCCACCTTGCTAAACCCAACAGAGTAGACCATGATGTTAAATTGTTTGACTATATCATTCCAAAGGGTTCATTGGTACTAGTCAACGTGTGGGCAATTGGTCGTGATTCTACTTTTTGGGAGGAACCTTTAAACCAGAGAGATTCCAGAGTTTAGAATTGGATGTGCGAGGAAAAGATTTTGAATTGATTCCATTTGGTGTTGGTCGAAGAATATGTCCTGGCTTGCCATTTGCATTGAGAATGGTTCAGGTTATGTTGGGCTCAATGTTGAATTCGTTCAATTGGAAACTTGAGGCAGGCATTGACCCAAAAGACCTAGACATGGATGAGCAATTTGGTTTCATCACACCCAAAGCTCATCCTTTACGAGTTATCCCATCTCCTCTTTGATGTTATCAGTTGGTTGGTAAGTACTTATCCATACTTGAATTTACACCAAATCATAAATATCTGATATCAGAATAAATGTAACATTGTTCAAATTTTGAAGACACCTATGTATATGGATTCTTATAAAAGAAAATTAACCGATGCATTACTCCATCTTCTTTTGATGCATTTTATCTTGATGATAGTGAGGATAAAGTAGATGATAAAAAAGAAGCACAAACCAGGAGCAAGGATTTGATGTGATTTTGATCAATTTCTTCAGAATTTTCTTCTTGAATTTTGAGAAACATTTCCAAAATATTATTCTTTTCAATACCGTCACTTAGGGGTGTACAAAATTGAACCGAAAACCGAATCAAACCGCAAATTGAGTCAAACCGAAAAAAAAAACCCGACTAGTGGTTTGGTATTGGAAAAAAAAACCCGACTATATTTGGGTTGGTTTGATTTTAACTAAAAAAAACCAACCCGAGACCAAACCAACCCGACATTATATATGTA